TTTTATTATACGGAAAATTATGATTGGGCCACTTTGAATCAACATATTACTTGCAAAATGACTAATTTGAAATATATTTCACATTAAGGATGACTTGAGCACGAAATTTGAAGATGCAGACTATGACATCAATATTTACAATTACAAATTTAAGGGCTAATTTGAATTTAAATCGAAATTTAGGGACTAGCCATGCGATAAGGCAAAGCAAATATATTAACCTGACAGTAGCCACTAAAACGCAAAACCCCAGCTGGAGCAGAATTCACAGGTGTTTCTCCCTTCAGTTTTTTATATCTGCGATTTGCACGTCTGAGGAGTAAGGTCTTTCTTTATGCGAGTGATTTTCTTTTGTTTTTTAAACCTGTTGTGGTGTGAATTTCCTGAAATCATACTCGATCTTGAATGCATTGTGTTATGCAATAAAGATGTAAATTTTCTCTGAAGTTACATATTTTGTTTAATTCTACACCTTGAAATGTGATACGTAAGACGAAATTATGTCATGGGTTATGAAGAAACGTATTCTCGTCTGAAAGGGTACTTAAATCCTGGTTATTTCTGTGTTTTAACCGGATAAGAATGTATTTCTTAAAAAAGGTGAAGATGAGAGAGAGAATGGGAGCAAGCAGGGGACACAGAGAATCACTGGTAAGGCGAACTTCACAGAGATCAGTGTTTGGTAGGCAAACTGATCAGGTACAAAGGCGCAGAGGAGATGGTAATATTAGACAAGAGGGATGCAGACAAAGTTTTGGAGGGTACGATTGGAAGATTTATAACCAAGCTACAGCTTTTTTCTTCACAAACTTTCCTGAGGAGTGGAACTATGAAGATTTGTGGAGACTCTTCTCAAAATATGGGAGAATCTACTCTATTTACAGCCCAGAAAGGAGGGACAGATTTGGGAGAAGATTTGGTTTTGTCCGGTTTCTGGAAGTGAAGGATAAGAAAGAGTTGGAACGCCAATTAGATCAGATCTGGATTGGTCACACAAAACTCAGGGCAAACATCCCCAGATTCAAAGAGGAAGACCGGAATGGTAAGAAGAAAGCAAACCAAAAATTGGGATGCAAAACCATCCTGATAGTCGCCCGGTAAACAATCAGATCCAAGGAGGGTTGGGAAGAAGATGGGGCAGTAAAATGGTTGTACCACACTGGTCTTATGCAAATGTCCTGAGAGGTAGTGGAAACACCAGACCCATGGCAGAGCATAGAGGAAACTCAAGGACGAAGCACTCAGAAAAGCCTAATAGAAGAAAATGGCAGAAGAAAAATAACGACCAGGAATGGACAGGTTTTGAGTTCAATGTGAAAGAGGAGGACTATAGCTGGTTACAAGGGTGTTACGTGAAGCACACTCTGTAGAAATTGTTCCATGCATATAGGAAAGATTTTACATGGAGGGGTATTTTGCATGTAAGCTGAAGGCAATGGGAGGTAAGCTAGTTCTCCTGGAGAGTGAAGATAAAGATGAATTGAAGGACTTAGTGGAGAATGCTTCAGATGGTTAGGCCAATGGTTCAAGGAGATCAAACCTTGGAGTCCTTGCATGGTGGCAAATGAACGTTTCATATGGATTCGATGCACAGGTGTTCCACTACATTCTTACATTTTTCTCCACTCTTAGTTGTATCTAGGGAAAATTCATTACTTTGGATGAAAGCACAAGCAAGAAGAAACGTTTTGACATTGCAAGATTCCTTATATGCACACCAGTCATGGATTCCATTTCAAAGAAGCTCAAAGTCAAGATCAACGGAACAGTGTACAATATCAGAGTGGTGGAAGAAGAATTCTCCAATAGTTTATTTTCTATCAAATTAGATTTCATTCCAGATTTTCCAAGTGATTCCGAAATTGAATCCAATGAAACTTGGGAGATTGATAGCGTGGAAGATGAAGCATCAAAGGGAGTAGATACGGAAGTTGAAAAGTTATTCAGTGACATGGAGATTAGGGTGCCTAGGGAGGAAGAGGAAGATGTGGCACTTGTAGATTGGATGGCGATTCAAAATCTAAAATCCCAATCACAGGGATTTGAAATTGGAGAGAGAAACAAAAAGGATATGTTGGGAAAATCTCAATCGATTGAGCAGGGGGATATCTAAGAAAATATTAATGAATCTACTGAAAAGGTGGAGGACAGCTTGGCGGCGCATCATAATTCGAAGATAGCTGCTCCACTTCAAACTATTGGTGAACAGGATATGGATGCTAGATATGGGCTGGTGGGTGAAACTCTTAGGCCCAACACTGAGGAGACCACAGAATCTGTTAATGGGCCAACTCAGGGAAAAGATATGGAGAAGGTTCTAGTAAACACGGGTGGTGATAATCAAAATGCCAAAAATGCCTTTCCAGTAAGATGTAATCAGTTCACATCTCAAAAAGCTTCAGACGATATGGAGGGACCAAATCGAAAACCAACCATATCAGAAGGTTTAGAGGTAGAAGGTAATGATTCTTTTTGGGAGGGGATGGCTAGTGAGTTGGAAAGAGTTGTAAACTGGAGAGAAAGATAGGTGAGAAGGAAGAAATCAAAGAATCGCACAAAGAAGAGAGCCAGATCTTGCATCGCAGTCTATAAAGTAGCCTCGGCAATACTCCAAAAGAGGAATAGGGGAGAAAAATGTAAAGGTACACAACAATTGAAAGAAAATCTACCAACTTTCTTGCCCAATCCGAAGAAAGTGGTTGCCGGTGAATCTGTGGGTGACAGTGACATTATAAATCGAAATAAGGAGATTCGCAAAGGGTGGAAAAAATATGGAGCTGAGGAAATTTGGGAATTTGCTAAGCTGATCGGAGTACTTGGTCAAAGTGAGGAATCGGACATATGCCAATAGATTAAACGCATGGAGAAAAGAGACAGAGCAGCTAAAGTGGGAACAAAAGCAATTAGCAAAGGCAATGGAAAGCAGGTCAGTGAACTCGCCCAATGATTATTCTTTCATATAATGTTAGAGGGTTGGGGAAAAGGGAAAAAAGAAGGGAACTAAAAGAATTAGTGATGAAGGAGAAAGTAGATTTTCTTGCAATACAGGAATCCAAATTAGTAATGGTGAATTTGAATGGGTGTTCAAACCATCAAATGGTCTTTTAGGAGGCTTAATTTGTGTATGGAACTTGGGAGTCTTCAAAAAAGATAGAGTGTATGAAGGGGAAAACTATATAGGTGTTTATGGGTTCTGGGGAAAAGACGCTATGCCTGTTCACATTATAAATGTGTATTCTCCTTGCAACATTACTAGCAAAAAGGCTTTGTGGCAGGAGTTAAAATTGCTAGTGTTAGGCACTAAAGGCAATTGGTGTTTAGTAGGCGATTTTAATGCAGTCAAGAGTAGACAAGAAATAGCAGGGGGCAAAGGGTCCACAACAGAAATGAGAGAATTTGAGGATTTTATTAGAGACTCGAATCTTGTTAATTTGCCTTTGCGTGGTAGAAGATATACTTGGTATCAAGTAAATGGGACATCCATGAGCAGGATTGATCGATTCTTACTATCAGAGGATTGGCTGTTGAATTGAAGTGATTGCAAATAGTGGGGATTAGGGCGCTCCATATCAGATCATTGTCCTATCATTTTGAAGAACATCTCAGTGGATTGGGGACCAAGGCCATTCAAATGGTTTGATGCATGGCTGGACACACCAGGTTTGAGGGATGAAATCAAAAAGGTATGGAACTCAACTAAGGTATCTGGATAGAAGGGATACTGTTTGAAGGAAAAATTCAAAGCTGTCAAGAGGTTTCTTAAAGTTTGGAGTATGAATTTCAAGGAACAAGTAGATAGGAACATTACAGAATATAAAGCAGGCATTGCTAGCTTGGATGCTAGGGAGAATAGAATAACTTGTCAACTGAAGAATGTGTAGGGAGATAGAAGAACTTTGTAGATTTGTGGAAATGTTTAAAAACAAAAGAAGGCACGTTGAAACAGAAATTTAGGAAAATGCGGATCAAGAGTGGAGATGCCAATGCATGTTATTTCCATAGATGTGTCAAAAGCAGAATTAGGAAGAAGGAGATATGTTGTTTGCATATGGATGGACAATTGGTGGATGATGTACAGACGTTAAGACAAAAGATTGTAGAGCACTACACATGTTATTTCAAGGATGAGGAGTGGAGAAGACCAACATTGGACGGCATAAATTTTAACAGGCTCTCCCCAAATTCTGCTGCCATGTTAGTTGACAATTTTACTGAAGAAGAAGTTAAGAAGGTAGTTTGGGATTGTGGAGTTACAAAGGCACCAGGCCTAGATGGATTTAATTTTCGATTCATAAGAGAAATGTGGGAGGTGTTGAAGGAAGATATCATGGGCATCATACAGGAATTTCATGAGAATGGCAAGTTAGTCAGAGGATTGAATGAATCTTTCATTGTACTCATCCCTAAGAAGGAAAATCCATTAGAGTTGGAGGATTTCAGACCCATTTCCCTAATTGGTGCTATATATAAAATCCTAACTAAGATACTCTCAAACAGATTGAGTCAAGTTATGCAGGAAATCATTGGGGAACAACAAATAGCTTTTGTGAAAGGTAGACAACTCATAGATGGTGTAGTGGTTGCAAATGAGGTTATAGATGAAGTACACAGGAAAAGAAAGAGTAGCTTTGTATTCAAGATTGATTTTGAGAAGGCTTTTGACAAAGTCAGTTGGAAATTCTTGGATTACATGCTAGAACGTATGGGATTTGATTCCGAGTGGCGAGGTTGGATTCAAGAATGTCTAAGCACCAACAGAGTTTCAATTTTGGTTAATGGCAATTCTACAGATCAATTCTCAGTCAGTCAAGGGTTGAGGCAAGGTGATCCACTGTCATCGTTCTTATTCTTGATAATTGCTGAAGGCTTGAACGGAATAATTGCGTCAACCATTTCAAAAAAGTTGTTTGCTGGTGTATCAGTAGGTTTTGATTAGTTGAACATTTCCCACTTGCAATTTGCAGATGACACGATTTTATTCGGATATGCTACAGAGGAAAATATATGGGCTGTGAAGTGTATCACAAGAATTTTTGAGCTTCTTTCTGGACTTAAGATCAACTATGTGAAAAGCTAGTTGATGGGAGTGCATGTGGATGAAGAATGGCTATCAAGAGCTGTTGCAATTTTAAATTGTAATCTGGGAGTTATGCCTTTCAAGTATTTAGGGGTCCCTATTGGGGACAACCCAAGAAGATTGAAAATCTGGCAACTGCTGGTGGAAAATTTCAAGAAGAAGTTGTCACAATGGAAGGGGAGATTCGTATCTATGGGAGGCTGAATTACTCTGATCAATGCTGTGTTGTCAAGCCTACCAGTATTTTTGATGAGTATGTTTCTCATTCCAAAAGGGGTGATTAAAAAATTAGAGTCCATTAGGAAGGCTTTTTTATGGGGAGGGAATGATGAGAAAAGAGTGATAAATTGGGTAGGGTGGGAAAATGTGTGCAAAAGCAAAGAGGAAGGGGGTCTTGGAGTGAATCTTAGAACTTTTAATTTAGCCTTAATGGGGAAATGGTGGGGAAGGTTCGCTAAGGGGAAGGGCGGTTTGTGGCATAAGGTTTTAAAAGCTAAGTATGGGAGAGAGGGTGTAAATTGGACGAGATGGATGAAAGAGAGCAGTGAGTTAGGATCTCTATGGTGGAGAGATGTATGTAGGCTAAATGAGATAGGGGGGAGTAACATAGGATGGCTAGAGAGAGGTTTTGAGTTGGATGTGGGGGAAGGTAAAGAGATGCTGTTCTGGAAGGAGAATTGGGTAGGGATTGGTGAGTTGGCTAACTTGTTTCCTAGATTATTTTTATTATCTACAGGTAAAGAAAATGTAATAAGTCAAATGGGCAAATGGAAGAATGGAGAGTGGACTTGGGATTTGAAGTGGAGGCATGCTTTTCGGGAAGAGGAAGCTATCCAATTACAGAATGTGATTAGTAGGTTGAACACCAAATCACTTACCAAGGGAAGAAGGGACGTATGGCACTGGAAACATGATCAAAACGACATCTACAGTGCAAGTTCAGGTGACCAGACACTATCAAGATCCTTCTCATCCACAAGGGGATAATTTTCAACAAGATTTGGAACCCCCACATACCCACAAAAGTCAGTTCATTCAGTTGGCTAGTCACACAAGATAGAATTCCATCTAAAGTTAATTTATGGAGGAGGGGTGTATTGAGAGATGTTAGTATGATTGTGTGTAAAATGTGTGAGAAGGGTGATGAATCAACAAGGCACCTATTTCTACACTGCCATATAGCTAATATATTGTGGGGAAGATGTTGTCGTTGGTGGGGTGTGGAAGTTGTTCTTGCTGAATCCTGTTCGGAGGCTTTTGTTCAACATGAAGGCTGGTTCAAAGATAAAAGGTCAAGGGAGGGATGGGAGGTGATTTGGTTCGCAGTCATATGGACAATTTGGTTAGCTCGTAATGGAAAAATCTTCAACAATGAGACAGTGGATACAGACCAACTATTTCAATTAATTCAAGCCAGATCGTTCATATGGCTCAAGGAGAGAAAAAGAGGACACAAATTTTCCCTCTCAAATTGGTTGCAAGATCCTAGATCGAGCGTGAGGAATGGTTAGCAAATTTTCTGAATTGTCTATTTATGTATGTTTTAAGAAGAAATTTGTCCAAGGTCTTGGCATTTTTTTGGATTTGAGGAAGGGTTACTGGCTGTATGTTTTCCAGTCGGGATTGGATGCAAAACCCTGTGGTGTGTTTTTGAAGGACTAGATGTGCTATTCTACCATTGAAGAAATTGCAAAAGAGGACTGAAACCCGACACGGGTGTGTTGTCGACACATAAGTTTGGTAATGACACCATACAGTAAGCATCCAAAATTAGCAAGGACTGTTCGTCTCTCATAAATTTATGTCTTTCAAGTTGGGATGTTTATAGGTTTGGAGTACCCCTTGTATTTCGCTTTTTAATAAATGATACTTTTTTCTGTTCAAAAAAAAAAAAAAAGGGGATAAGAATGTGCCTGCTTATTGTTTGATGAAATGCCTCAATGAACTGTGTGCCCTTAATAGAACCAGAGTCTGGGGGGAGATAAGTTACATTCTTTTTTCTTTAAAATAGGATCAGAATAAGATAATACTTACTTCGGTCCTATAAAAGAAAATAAGAAGTCATCTTACGTACAATTGAATGCACTTGGTAAAATCAATTAAGTATTTGGTATTGTTCGTAATTTGAGATATACTTAAGTGACAAGTTTGGTACTTAAATACTCATATCTGAAGAAAAGTGTTATTTTTCTCTTCTGATTATTTGGTTAGATTTTTATTTTCTTTTCTTTTCTTCTCATGGCAAGCTTTTTAAAACATGTCTCACTGGTAAAAAACACCTGACTTAGCTCTAAAAGATTCTTTTTCTTTTTATCTTTTATTTTTGTGGCAATGTTATTCTCATGATGTTTTCTATAGTCACTTTGAAGTTGAGGTGATATACATTGGCAATGGAGAGAAAAGATGATTTGAGTTGAAGAAGACCCGAGTAGTAGAAGCCCAAGCAAGAAATATAAGTCACAATGTTCACTATACAGAGTGTGGAAGTCAATCCATTGAAGATTCACAGGCAGATATTGCAATTCTCCTCAGAAAGGTAACTTTTTTCTTTCACATCCAAGTGATCAATGATCTCCTGTACAACCAGATTGTTTCTTTCATCATGGCTAATAGTTTACTGGCTGCCAAAAATTTACAACTTCAGCCATTGCTAAACCACCTAATTCTTGGATTATATGTCGAGAAACTTCTGGGGCTTCTTGTGCAATAAAGTAGAACTGGTTCATCTCCATCAGGTTGGTTAATTAGCTATTTACATAAATGACAGGTGGTAAAAAGGTTTGTTTAAAGTAGTTGCAAATGACACCACTTATTTGTTTCCAGCAAGATGCCTGTATTTTTTTTCTCCTTGTCTTTTTATATTCATTAACATCTCCAAATCACCTCTTTAGATGCCTTTCCATCAGCTTCTATTAACTTTAAGGGCAATTTTGTAGTCATTTCTCTCAGACCACAGTTCAGGGCCCATGTATATTCCACGATGTAGAAGCCTTTTAGTTTTTTAAATCTTTCATCATGATGAGAACTTGTATTTCAGCTGCTACTAGCAATTTAAATGTTAAATCCAATTCTTTTATCCTTCACTTTTAGCTCCCTAAACTGGCCATTGGTAGAGCTATTATGCATTGCAATATATTTGTGTATTCCTCACATAAACCATTTCAATTTGTTCAGCATTAAAAAAAATTTGGATGCATCTTAAGTAAGCAAGTTTAGGTGGTAGAGTGGGAGAAAGCTTTAAGCTGATTTCCAGACTGCCCCACCACCAATCTGGCCTTACTCCTAGACAATATTGATGTTCTCTATTGTCTATAAAGCCCCAACTTTTGGTATCCAATAAAAGTTATGGTGCTCTGTTTACCTTTCCAAAGTTATCATCAACTAAAACCACATCTTCTTCCATGTTAATTCATTGCGGAGATGGAATTTGGGTTGTGAATTGACTATTTTTGCTTCTTTCTCTCCTAAAGATATTATTGTTGTCAAGGTTTAATTGTATTTTTGAACTGTTTCTAGATAATTTTAGTTTCTTGATGCTTCCCTTGTAATCTCATAGCAACTTCGCAAATGAGAAAATTCTGATCCTAACGTTATTGTTGCAGTTGATTCGTGATGAAATTCAAGCTGGAAGGACTGACAAAGAGATTTATAAAAAGGTTGAAGAGGATTTTGGGGAG